GTGGGAGATCATGCTTCCTTCCCACAGACCTGGATCTGAGAACCGGAGGCAGAGACCACTTCCTCTGAGGGCCACCCCTGCTGTCCTGGGTCCCAAAACACCAAGCTCACTGCCATCGAGTTGATTCCAATTCCTAGCGACCCTAGAGGGCAGGGTGCAACTGCCCCTGGCGGGTTCCCAGGCTGTAGCTTTTCCAGGAGTAAAGCGTCTCATCTTCCTCTCACAGAGCGGTGGGTGGTTTCAAACTGCTGATCTTCAGGTGCGCAGCCCAATGCATTACCCATTACACCACCAGGGCGCCACAGGGGTGGGGTACATGTTCTGCCTGCCAGCGCAGGTGCTCAAAAAGCTTACTGGTCATTCTTGTTGCCAAGTGCAGTGCCGGTCTGGAAGCTCCAGAGACCATTCAGACGTGGTCCTCTCCCGGGACAAAGCAGCTGTGCGTATGGGGCACTATGCCATGAGCAAGGGGGCAGCCAGGCCGTGAGAAAGAGAAAGAGAGGGGGACGCAGTGTGTACAGGAAACCGAGCGTTCTAAGGCTTTGTATGGCCAAACGCTAAGAATGGTTTTAATATTTTCTAATGGTCTATTTTTAAAAATCACACATTGGCTGCAAAACAATCCCCTCATTGACAGCGACACCTACCCGAGTTTGAAAGATTTCTGCAGAAAGGTGAAGACGTACCATGAATTCAACCCACCGCCCATGGAAGACGTCACCGGGCAATCACATTGCAGGACACCATCTGAAAGTATTCAGCCCCCTCAGGACCACAGCTATAGTCATGCCACATCCACCCCACCCCCTCACAAGGAAAGTCTCCTGGGGGCGGGGGGCGGGGGGAGACAGGTCCCTTGCTGGCACCTACTCATTTCATGTGACATGGTGAACATCTGTACCATTGTCACCTTGAACACAATGTGGCTCCGCTTGCCATCATGAACACAACCTAGCTCACCCCTGCTCCACTTGTCAGCTGACCGTGAAGCAATTGACATCTATGACCTGCCAGCCCCACCCCCTCCTCTGTACATCTTCAGGAAGACCCCATCACGTCACCTGAGTCCATGTTGAAAGGAGATGGAAACGGGGGCCAGGCAGGGGGTCCCAAATGTATAGCTGAGGGGTCACTGTAGGATTAGATATTATGTCAACTCGGCACTTCTGGCTAGGGGCGGAGTTCAAGCTGTCAATCCAGCAGTAGCTTGAGGACACCTAGGTGGGGGGTGGCCTTTTGTCTAAGAGCAAGATTGAACGGAGAAGATTCCTCTCTGCCACTTTGCCTTCCTCCTCACTGGGACTCTGCAGCTGTTTCTAGGGGCAGCCCCGCGTGGGCCGCCCAACCCTGAGATCTGTGGGCACTCTGCCAGGTTTCCACTGACCTTGGATCCATGCCACTCTGCCCTCACCAGCCTGTGATGCCCCTGCTTGCCCACTTTACCTTTCAGCATCGCAGCCTGCAGCTGCGTGAGTCTGAAGATGCCCCGGCTAGCAATAGACCTGTGGGCTGACTGGACTGGACTGGAGCGCCTTCTTGCTATAAAATTCTTTCTTGTACACAGATGATGCCACGGGTTTGTTTCTCTAGACAACCCAGCCTAACACAACCACCCTCTGACTCCTGACCTCTAATCCTAACTGCTATGCCACTGCATACACAACCTCCTAGGGGCCCCTGCCTTTGTCCTTTCCCTTTGTGTCTGTCTATCACGGGCACCCACAACTCCACCCCGATCCCCTCCCCAGGCCCAAGGTATAGAAAGAAATGCAAAGAGGTTTCCCAGACCAAAGTTCTGTCCAAGGCATTCAATGACTCAGAACCACAATGACCGCCTTGGAGAGTAGCGATCCGGCTTGTTTAGCTGGAGATTACAGGGCAAGGCCTGGGAAGAATCGCAGTGGGCCAGTTCCAGGGAAGAGGGAGAGTTCAAGCTTCAGCGAGAGAGAGAGAGAGAGAGAGAGAGAGAGAGAGAGAGAGAGAGCAGAGAAGTGAGTCTTTGAAAGTCCCTGAGAGTGGCTCCCAAATGTTTAACCCCTTCTAATTCTGGCAGTGAAGGAGGACGGTAATCCAGACCAATCCTTCAGCAGACGCTACGAAGAACCATCTGGAAGAATGCATCCTTAAAGCATTGAAGGATTTACAAGCTGGGAAACAACGAAGCTGCCCAAAGTTGGGCTACCCCAAGAACAGAGAGGCGAGGTCAGCGCCGGAGGTGGCTCAGAATTGTGGCATGTGGGGTCTTGAAGAAACCACGGGTGTTTTTTGGGTCTCCGGGGCAAACAGGAAGCAAGTCTGTGCCCTGGGTCTACCCAAGGTGGGAGTCTTCACTTCAGTGAGACCCCAAGGGCAGCACCCTGCTATAGACTCCACAGTGACTGGCGTTGCTATTGTGGGCCAGCGAGTGGCTGCTGACTGCTGGCAGCCTCCTACTGTGCCAGGTCCTCCTATTGGAGAGCAGGCGCACACGTGCCAGCCTGCTTCCACGTGGAGCTCTCTCCACGCAGTCTCGTGGTCTGGAGCAAGTCTGCTGTGTGCAGGGCGCACTGTTGGTCGTGCCTACGGCTTCGCCGATGGTGAGTTCCCGGTGAGAAACACAGCCTCACCTCATGATAGTGTGCATCTGAGAACATTCGATTACCCCGTGTGACAGTCAGCCCTGGACATGGTTTCCGGGCTCACGTAGCAGCTGAAAACAGGTCCTGTACATGCCAACCTGTCCCCACTCTGGTTACCTGTGGCAGCAGATTGCTGAGCGGGCAAAGTGGAGTCAGGAGCTGCGTCACCCTAGGCCCGTGGTTCTCAACCTTCCTAATGCCGCGACCCTTTAATGCAGTTCCTCATGCTGTGGTGACCCCCCCAACCACAAAATTATTTTTTGTTGTTTTTGTTTGTTTGTTTGTTTGTTTTTCCAAAAAATTATTTTTGTTGCTAGTTCATAACTGTAATTTTGCTATGTTATGAATCGGGCGACCCCCATGAAAAGGTCGTTCAATCCCCAAAGGGGTTGCAACCCACAGATTAGGAACTGCTGCTCTAGGGGAATCGCTCACCTTACTGAGTCTCCTTGCCTCCCCTGTCAAGTACAGGTCATAGTACTAGTACAAGAAACCCTCACAGCATGATGGTTATGCATTGGGCTGCTAACTTCAAGGTCATCAGTTCAAATCCACCAGCCATTCCTTGGAAGAAAAATGAAGCTTTCTCTTTGCATAGAGAGTTACCGTCTCAGAAACTCACAGGGGCAATTCTACCCTGTCCTATAGGGTTGCTTTGAGTCAGTATCGACCAGAGGGCTAGTACTAATAACAGGACTCACAATACTCGGGTGGGTGCCAGGAGAAACAAGTATCGGGGACCCAGTGCCCGGCAACAACCGAGAGAGTCCATGTTTTGTGCTGCAGTTGCCCTGTGCTGGCTGGGGAGCTGATTGTCAACTCCTGGCAACCCCGTGTGACACAGTTGAGCTGTCCCATTAGGGTTTCTAGGCAGCAGCCTTGATGGTAGCAGGTCATGAGATCTTTCTTTCTCAGAGCCCCTGGTGAGTCCAAACCACCAACCTTTGAGTTAGCATCCATGCACCTCACCATGTACTGCCAGCGCCCCTGGTGAGGTGCTGAAAAGCCCTGGTGACATGCTGGGCTACAAGTTGAGATGGCAAGGTCAGTAGTTTGAACCCACCAGTCACTCCCTGGGAGGAAAAGAGTCTGTCTGCCCCCATGAAGATACAAAGGCTCAGAAACCCATATGGACAGTTCTACCCTGTCCTACAGGGTCACTGGGGTCTGGAATCAGCTCAATGGAAGTGAGTTTGGTTTTGCGTTTGTTTGTTTTTATTACTAATCCTTGCAGAAATGTGATCCTGGATACCACAACTTCCAGTAATAGAGATACAAGCCTCATAATAGGCATCGATAGTAATGATAGCAGTCATGATTGGTAATGTTATCTGAGGACCACAACTTAGAGTAATAGACATAAAATCCAATAACAGTCATTAATAAGAAGTAATAGTAGTAATAACTATTGGTAATGGAACTGAGCTTACCAAGAACCTAGAAGTAAAGCCTTCAAGCTGACCAGCATTTGTGGGATTTATTAGTGGCCTTGGTGGTGCAGTGAGTTAAGCATCCGGCTGCTATGGGAGGGGTGGGCAGTTTGGGTTCAGCAGCCAATCAGAGGGGACAGATGAGCCTCAGAAACCCTCGGGGCAGCACTGCTCTCTCCCATAAGGTCACTATGAGTTTCACTTAACCTGACCACAGCGGGTTTTTTTTTTTTCATTGCTTATTAAGAAGCCAAGCCAGGAGCCCAGGTGGCATAGTGATTGCATGTGAGGGCTGCTATCCTGGAGGTCAGCAGGTGTGAATACCACCACCCTCTCCATGCGAGAAGACCGGGCTTTCTACTCCTGTAAACAGTTACCATCCGGGAAACCACTGGGACCATTCTAGTCTGTGCTCTAGGGTTGCCACCAGTCGGCAAAGACTCGATGGCTGGGAGTTTGGCTGTTTGATGGTTACTAAGCAGCCCCGTGGCAGAGTGGTTTAAAGCTAAGCTGCTAGCCCAAAGGTGCGTGGTTCAAACCTACCAACCGCTCTCCAAGAGAGCTGAGGCCATTGGCTTCTATAAAGATGCACAGCCTTGGTGAATCCTGTGGGGAAGTTCTACCCGTTTTGTTTTGTTTTATTGCATGATCACGACCTGCCGGACCTCCTGCCACATGCTCTGGAAGTAGAAGACCTGAGTCCTGAACCCCTCAGCCTGCATAGGAGCAAGAACTGCTAGGCCCAGGATGAGAGGCCCCACAGAAGAGAGACGGTGTGCTCTCTGGGGAGGAGGGGATGCTGGGGAGGCAGCCGAGAGCTCCCAGAAATTCAGAAATGGGCTCCAGCCAGGCAGCAGCGAGAGCTGCCAGTGTGGAGCCTCTGTGAACGCTCTCTGCCATGGGCACGTGACCCGCCCCGCCTGGGGCAGGGCGTCCCGGAGAGTCCACTCACTCTCTCTGATGTCCTCACGGGCTTCGGGGGTACTCTGAGCGTCACTGGCAGCCTTCTCAATGCTCCTGATTCTAGCACCTCTCCTGGGGCTGGTTTTACCTGGAGAGAGAGAAAGAGAGAGAGAGAGATGCCTTTACTTCCATGCGTGTCAGTGGGGAGAGCTCGGCCACCTGCTCTCTGAAAACCAGCAGCCCCACCCTCTGCCTCCCCTCTCCCCAAAGATGGGTCAAATGAAACTAAAAACAACGCATTGCCCTCAGGCAGGTGGTCCTGCAGGGTGCCAGGCCTTTCCTCTGTGGTCTGATGGGAGTCTTCCGATGGCCAAGCTACCGTCATAAAGCCCCAGGAAAAGGCGTTCCTACGATTACACTGTCACATGAGAAGACTACAGCAGTGTGCTGTCTTGGGTGGAATCTATTACACGCAAGTCTCACTGAGGCCCAGTTATTGTTACCAGGTAAACGGATGACGTTGGAACTGGAGCCTTGAACTCCTGGCTCCAGAGCGGCCATTTCCCACCATGGTGGGCTTCTCCGGTCACACTGGCCCCGGGTCTCCAGGTTCCCTGGCATGGGGACTTGGATGGGAGATGCTACTTCCCACCCACTGGAGAGAGTCCCGCTGGGAAGCTGCGGCTGGCTTCTTCTAGCTCGTGGTCCCCACTCTCTGCTCCAGCTCCATGGCTTCCCCTCTGGCGCCTGCCCAGGCTTCCTCTCCAGAAACGCTGCAGGTGCCGCTGCTGCTGTGGGGTGGAACAAGTAACTGTTCCAGGCATGGAGCTGCTATGAGCTGTTGGCAGCCAGAACCACGGCAGCCAGGAAGGGTCTGGGGATAGGCAGGAGGGAGAGGGGTACCAAGACCCTAGCCCTCACCCCCCCTGCTCTCTCTCCAGGGCTTGGTAAGCGACAGGCTGTGATGAACAAGTGACGGGACAAAGAACAAGTGGGCGAGAGAGTGACCAGAGGGACAAAAGCCAGGGGACAGGGCGGGTCTGTGGAGCAAGATGCTTCTGAAAGACCTTAAAATGCAAGCTGAGTTATCCAAACTACCTTGTGCACACATTCCACCCTTCCCGCCGGCCCCTTATCAGGAAACAAAAAACCTACTCGCTGCTCTCCCGGCAATTAGAAGCATTTATACTAGAGCCCATAATCCTGTTAGGTGCCTGCTGTCGGAGCACCCCCCTGGATCACTCTAGTGCTCACACCCCGGGAGCTGCACCGATCACACTGTGAAGCACTGGTCTAGTGGCGGTGCCAGTTACTGAAATCATTCCAAATCCTTCTACAGAGAGAGAGAGAGACTCATCATTCACCTGCCAGCCACGCAGCAGGCCACGATGTGAACAATCCCAGCAGCACAGAATCCCCAAAACAGTCCTGCTCCGGAGACCAGAGGGCAGCAGAGGCCCCAAAGCCAAGCCAAGCAGGCAGGAAGTGGCAGGAAAGAAGGGTGCTGGGAACAGGAAGTGCAGGAGGGCGCAGGGAGAGGGCCAGGACTTTGAGGGTACTGCAAAACCCACGGCCTGAAACCAAGTGTTAATCCATTCTTGAGTGGGAAATGAGTGCACGCCATACTTTCACCCACACTTCAGTAAGAAAAATAAGGAAGTGTCACTCCTTAGTCTTAAGAACAAAGAAAACCCTAGATCAGCCACAAATGCCGGGGCCGATGCGGGCCCCAGGGAGGGGCCACGCCATCCAGGTGGCATCTGCAGATGTCTGTAAATGTGGACGCCTACTGCAAATAAGGACACTTTTTGTGTCTCCCTCTGGGTCTAGGCAGCTGATAAGCCGAGGCCGGACGGGGAAGACTGGTTGGAGCCAGCCACGCCACCTCCTCTGGCCTTGGCCGCATGGCAAGAATGCCCCCCAGGAAACCCTGCTCCCGTTTCTCGGTGCTGCTGGAGCAGAAATCTCTCGTGTGGGCGGTGCCCACACAGAGCTGTACTTTCCCTGATAAAACCGAAATCCATTGAGTCAATGTCGACTTTCAAGGACCCTAGAGGCCAGGGTGGGAGTGGCCCTGTGGGCTTCCGAGACTGTAACTCTGTACGGGAGCAGAAAGCCCCATCTTTCTCCCATCAGGAGGCTGGGAATCAGAATGTTGGCAGCTTCTGTGCCTGGAGTCCATGGCAGGGTTTCCGTGTGGCCTCTGTCCTTCCCCCTCTGAGCCTGACCTGCTCTTTCAGAGCTCGCCGTGACTGGCTGAAAGCATACCTGCACTGGTCGGTCTCATTAATGTCACAGAGAAAACCCCACGTCCAAATGGGACCCCGTCCACAAGCATAAGCCAGACCCAGCCCTCCGCCACCGCCCCAGAGTGGCTCTCGGGCCTACACAGGCTTTCCTGACTGTCGATCTTTCTGGGGGCAGAGAGGTTGCTCTTTCTTCTGCAGAGAGGCTGGTGGGCTTGAACCGCTGACTTTTCTGTGAGCAGCCTGCGGCTTAGCCCACGGCACCACCAGAGCTCCTGCACAGGCCCAGGGGTTAGTACGCACAGATGTCCGCGGGTACCATCCAATCGGTGCCCTGCTCAGAGAGCTGCTCTTCGGCAAAAGCAGTCACAGAACCCTCAGGTGATGCAGACTGTCCGGGCCCCAGCCCCACCCCCACCCAGAAGCCCGCAGCCAGGATGGGACAGCCTCTCTACAGGACACCGCCGAGCCTCAGGAGCCAGCCAGGGGAAGAAGCCCTGGACACCAAGTGTCCCCTTGGCAGATACGCATAGATGGGGACAGCGTTCCCGCTCAGCTAAGCGTCTCCAACAAAGACCCAGACGTGGGACCAGCTTCCTGCTGCCTGAGAGTCTGAGACCCCAGGGGACCCACATGCAGGGCACAGAAACCCTGGTGGGGTGGGTGTGGGAGACCTGGTAGGGCAGGATCAAGGGGAACGTAACAAAGAGGAAGTGCTGAAATCCTGGTGGGGACTGAGCATGATAGTGGG